AGCTTTTATTTATTTTTCTTCTTTCACTGGTTGTGTATTGATTCCCATATTCTCCATGTAAAGAATTTCATCCCTTTCTTGAATGCTCTTAGTTTTGTGCTTGTGTTTTGGCGTCCGCCTCCTGTTGGGTGGATTAAGATTAACGGGTCTTGTAAAGGGAATGGTCAGATGGGTAGTGGTGGTGTTTTTCGTGACTCTAGTGGTCTTTTTTTAGGAGTGTTTGCCTCCTCGTCTTCCTATCCAAATGTAGTTGTTGCAGAGATTATGGTTGTGATCGAGGCAATTCAGATTGCATGGGATAAAGAATGGCATAATATTTGGTTAGAGACGGATTCTATGCATGTCATCAGCTTACCATCAAGCATATGATACACCAGAGACGGATTCTATGCATGTCGAAAAGAGAATACCATACCATGCAATCGATCGGCATCCACCCCACCTCTTCTAATTTTATTAGCACCTCCACCAGGGAGCTCCAGCCTCAAAAGTGTAGTTCCCATCATTCCATGATATCTGACATGCTTGAAGACCAATACACCAGGTTTCTCTGGTGAGAAGAAGTGGGTTTCTAGTTTTACACACTAGTAGAACGTACTGAAGGCGTCGTTCAGCTCCAATTAAAGATAATTGGAAAGCAATGTGGTACGCAAGAATGTAAAGACCTTAAGTGCAACTCATTAAAAGCCAAACCAATTCCAATGCAGGGCTTGAAATAGACTAATAACTTCTGAAATGAGTCTTGGAGCCATTTTAATTGGATGCAAGTAGTGAGTAATTGTTCCAATTGGCACAGGAGCAGCCGCAAGAACAAGATAATTCTTCTTCACCTTTTTTTCCTGGACGTAAGAAGAGAAAAATAAACTTAATGACCAAAAGAATACAAGCTCCGGGTTGGGGACAGCAAAGGTGCTCCTCAGCTTCTGAGTTATCGGAGTCTGCCCTCCCCCTCCCAGTAATTAAGGCTATCAAATCTAGATATTGAATGGACAAAACACCATCAAAATGTGTAATGACACGTACTGTTGTACCAGCCGGTTTGCCCAAAACCACGAATCCATCAGTTACAGCTACAATTCTTGATTTCCAGTCAATTTCATAGCATCTGATCAAAATTTTCATGTGAACAAGAATAACGCTAGTAAAAACTATGATAAGGACCTGTAAAACATTGTGTTTTACCTAATAAAACGCTTTGGGTGTACATGAACACATAAGTAGGTTCCAGTTTCAACAAATTGGTCTGGATGTGTTATTGGGAAAGTCTTTTAGTACTGACGGTGCTGTAACTTCTTTAAATACCCTCATCTGCTCTGGGGTTGCAGTTGGAGGCGGCCATGGACACACAAGGGCACAATATACAGCTCCAAAAATGGATGGGATCTGCAACAAACCTTCAAAAGAAAGAAAGTTTTTCCATTTACCACTCAAACTTGATAATGGCGGAAATCATGTGACATAAATCAACAAAAAACAATGTGAAGACAAAAAGAGCAGCACTCATTAAAGAGAAGATCCAGAACTTTGCAGATATATTCTTGAACAGTCCCCCCTTCTGAAACTACCAAGTGCTCGATTCTTGGTGGTCCATTGTCCGAGGGGCATGGAAGCAACCGAGTATATTCAGGGTAGCTGAAAGAAGATATGCTATCAAAGTCAACAAACGAGAGAACACAAAAAGGCAGAAATTCTATGTAACATTTTGTTGGCTAAAATTATATCGACACATTATCCATCGCAATGATCACATATTGGCAGTTCGATAAGAATATCCTTGTTGATGATAATTAATTGGGATTTAGTCATCAATGCTAAGTTCTTATTTCCAAACAGGGTACTGAGTTTTCGGTCAGTTCCATCTTTGCTTTCACACATAATGAGCAGAAAATGTAGATGAGACTTATAGTTTTCTCGTTTTTACGTTCGTTGTTGTAACTTATACACTGTTTCCTTAACATTGTTGCATAGTTTGTTGGACTAGCTAACTTCAATGTATCGTCATCATGTTTTTCAGGTTGAGATTTGTCTGACATCCAACATTAGGACTAGTACGATTCCTTCACTTGATGTACACCATTTTGGTTAGGCCTTCTGCTTCCGTTTATTTCGATTTAGTTATCTAAAATCTTAAATAATTTAAAATATTGTTAAATTTTCCTTAAACAAGTGATGCAGCTGATCTGTATACTGCAAAACATCCTTTAGTCATCTACACAGATGATTCTGGGGTGTTCTCCAGTCTTTCCAACGAGTACAACCTCGCTGCTGCTGTGTTTGGTAGGTCTGATTTCATTGGATCATGTAATGTAAATTAGACTGATAGCTGATAATCGCTGCTTGTTTACTTTCTTGACTTCTTAGGCCCTGGAAAAAGGGAACTATTTAGCAAGAAATTCAATAGAATTTATATTTGCTGATGACGGAGTGAAGAGAGAATTGAAGGGAATCCTCAATTCTGCTGAAAAGAAGCTAGTTCTATGATTACCATTGCAATTATAAGGCACGTAACTGCTTATGGACTCTCGTAGTATATAGCCATGTTGGCAATCAACTAGAACTACTCATTTCCGCAAGCAAAATTCATTTCTCAGATGTGGCCGGATACCAACTGATACGCTGGAATTCAACGTTGCAGATTTCTTTGAGTATGGTCAAGTTATTAGAATGTCCTACGGAAGTCGGAAGCAGCCAGTAGACCGGAGCATCCCCATGTACTGAAATCTTGATTGATATAACAAATTTCACGGAAGTTTCGTACAAGAATGAGTAATGCTATTGATATCATATTTTTGTACCACATTTTTATATTATCTTATATGACACTTGATATGACAAGCCACGTCATTTGAATTAATCAGATTTTAAATTTTAGTTCATTATTTAATAAACTAATAATTAATAACAACCAGTTAATTAAATGATAATTGTGGTATACGAGGAGTTTTTCTCCTTTTTTCCTTGAGTTTTGTAAATTTTTCAAATGATGTGGCTGTCCACATCATATGCCACCTAAGGTGGTATAGAAATGTGGTATAAAAGCATGGTATGAATATCATTACTCTACAAGAATTTGTTTCTCATGTTTGAAAATGCAATAATGTTATTCATACCATGTTTTTATACCACATTTCTATATCATCTTAGGTGACATCTGATGTGAACAGCCACATCATTTGAAAAATTTGCAAAACCCAAGAAAATTAAGGACAAAGACTCCTCCTATACCACAATCATCATTTAATTAATTAGTTTTTCTTAATTATTAGTTTATTAAATAATTAACCAAATTTAAAAATCTAATTAATTCAAATCATGTGGTTGTCCACATAAATATCACATAAGATGGTATGAAAATGTGGTACAAAAACATAGTATAAATAACATTACTCTTGAAAATGGTGTTTCTGACGTGGGTTATGAACAATATGCAGCTTATTGAATTTCTGGTGTGGCTCAAAAAATGCAGAGCAATTGGAAAATGAATTGATGAGAAAATGAGTTCATTGAATTTCTGTGGTGCTTTTTGCATTATTGCTACATCATTAGAGTTTCATCATCATAAATTTATGGTCATCTTTTATTCTCCCTAAGGAAAGCAACATTTAGGTGCATGAAAAACTCCAAGGCATGTCTTGGTCAAATAATAACCCAACGAGGAGTGATATGATCAATTCCGCACGAGCTCGTACATAGATCATGACCGTTTTTGTGTTGTGGATGACACAAACATGAATAACCATGATCAATTTATACGTATGTGAGCAACTATAAATACTAGCATTTTTTAAAGTAATTGCTTTATGATTACGGCATAAAACTTTTTTTAATTGTGACAGTCACATTTAAAAACTTCTCAGAGAGACATAAAGAATGCAATCTTATTGGTAATTTGTTATATAATGAGGCAGGGCAAGACTAGGGTGTAGTGAGCAATGTTCTCTCCTGTCTACGACGAAGTTATAATACTCACCCCGCAGTTATTAATTTAGCATAGACTGTAGCTCGGATGTTTAAAAAGAGAGGGGTGAACTACATTTTACATCACAAGGTTTAGGGATCATTTACAAAATAAGCCATGATGTTTCGGTTTTTTGCATTTTACACCACTTGGTTTATAAATTACACCAATTTAACCCCTTCGTCAATTTTAACGTCTAATTAGACATTATGTGCTAATGTGATATATACTAGGCCCACATTTTAAGCACACGTTGACTGTCAATTCCATAAAAATACTAAACGAGCAAAGTAAAAGCATTGAAATTAATGGTCAATGAGTGCTTAAATTGTGAGTCAAGTCTATGCTGCATCAGCATGTAACGTCTCAGTTTAGAGTACATCTATATTTTTAGACTAGGGAAAGGGGAAGTTTGACTAAGCCGCATAATGGGCAACCTAATTGAAATCTTGCATGTAGTGTAAATTGTATTTAACCCAAAAAGAGAAAAAACGAAACAAGGCAAGCTACAAAGTCATTACAATGAAGGTGATTATATATGAGAAATTTTATTTGAATTCATGTAACCTCTTTCTATACCCAACTTATGATCCAAAAATGATCATTACAATGAGGAATGATCCAAAAATGATGCATCCATTTCCCTACAACATTCACTAAGAACTCTCTCTTCAACTTCCCCTTGATCTCCCAGTATATTATGTAGTGGCCTGGTTGGGACTTGCTCAGTATTTGATCAGCTCGGCTTTCGACTTCTCAGTATTTGATCAGACCCTTTCTGGGCCACCATTTGAAGGTCATTTTCAGTGTTTTTGTCAATGTTTACTGTCAATATTGATATTGTTTTGTAAAAATAGTGATTTTGTATGGTAGGGTTTGAAAATTAGATGTGGGTTTATTTTTTAGGATTAATTTTATTTTGTACTTAATGGTAATTATGTGATAAGATAAAAAAAATAATTTTCATTTACGATTTAAGTTGAATGTAAAGAGAAGTTACGTTGTTTCAAATAAAATTTCCCATTATATATTTCAGTTAGTTTCTGTTTTGTTCTCTCCCTGTCGAAACAAAAACTCCAAAGCTCAATACATACACAGGCCACACAAGCCGTCTGGATTTCTCTCCCGCCATTAATCCCAATTCTCCTTCCTCCAAAAACCCTAACCCTCGACCCTCACATTTTCCCCCCAAATCCAACCTCCAACTTCACACAGACCCACAATTGCCCCTCTCGCCGGCGTGATCGCAATCGCGCCATGAATTTCCAAATGCCACTCCAGCTGAACTCCCAGCCGTCTGATCAAGATCGCCGCTGAATTCGAACTCTAATTGCGGCCGATCACAATGTCTTGGGGACTGGGCTGGAAGCGGCCCTTGGAGATCTTCCATCTCGTGCTCACGTACGGCACCGAGGGTCCGCCGGAGACCTTCGACCGTACGTCGTCGGCGTCGTCCTCGTCGTCCTCGTCTTCCGTGGCGACGCAGGATCAAGAATTAGGGTATCGGATCGACTTGGATTGGCAGGCTGGGGACGATGAGGAGCAGGTGGCTCTGAGGCTCCAGTCGCAGCTAATGGTGGCGTTGCCGATGCCTCAGGACACGGTGGTGGTCGAATTGAGGACCGAGGAGGCAGAGGAAGCGAATGTGGGTGTGGACATGAGGGTGGTGAGGCGCAGAGAGCCGTTGAGAGCTGTGACCATGACCAAGACGGCGGGGTCCGGCCAGCAAAGCGATGGCACTGGAGTCTTGACTCGCTTGCTGCGCTCCAATTTCGCTTCAACAATGCCTGCAGTTGCCGACGGCGAGGCGGCCTGCGGTGTGCATTGGCAGTGCGTCACCGTGGTCAATCTGAGTGGTTGTGGGTTGTCGGTGAGTCTTTCTTTAAATCCTTTTGTTCATTCATTGTATTTATTGTTTTTCTGATTGTCTGTATAAAATGTATAATTGATTTATTAAATTTTGATAGATTGCTGTGTAATTTTTGGAAATAAATGACTGTTCTTGGTGTAGTTTTTCCTAATTTTAGAGCAAAACCAGAACTTTCTAGTACTAGTTTCTCTAAATAGTTAGATTGATTAGTTTTGTTACTTTCGAATACAGCTTGTCGATACTGTAAAGATACAATTGTGTTCTTTTTTAAATTATGTCAAGAAAGTGATTTTCTTTTTAGTGATTGTGTGAGATTAAGGAATCTTGAGATAAGTTCTGAGTTTCTATCTCTATTTCTTGCATACTACTCACAGGTTTTACCGGTAGAGCTAACTCGGCTGCCTCTTCTCGAAAAGCTGTACCTTGATAACAATAAATTTTCAGCTTTTGCCTTCTGAGCTTGGTGAACTGAAAAGCTTAAAAGTCCTCAGGGTAGACTACAACATGCTGGTTTCAGTACCTTGTAAGTTTGGAATCCCTTTATCAATCTAATCAGCTTCAAGTTCATATTTCGGAGGTGAAATCTTTCATATTCATTTTATTATTTCTGTTGGACCTGTAAGCAGTAGAGCTGAGGCAGTGTGTTGGATTGGTGGAACTTTCATTGGAACACAACAAGCTAGTCCGGCCTTTGCTTGATTTCAGGTCATTTCATCTGCACTCAAACATATTTAATTTTCTATACATTTTTTCAACTCTTAAATAAAGATGCGTTTGTAAAGTGTATGATTTTCTCTAGGGTCTAATGGTTCCCTCCAATTTTATGGCAGGGCTATGGCTGAGCTACGAGTTCTTAGGCTATTTGGAAACCCTCTTGAATTTCTTCCTGAAATCTTGCCACTCCACAAACTTCATCATTTGTCTCTTGCGAATATCAGGATTGTGGCAGATGATAACTTGAGATCAGTGAACGTGCAAATAGAGGTAGTGATTAATGCAATTTTCATAGAAGTTTTTGTTCATTGCAATTGATAATCTTAGCCTGTACATTATTGAAATACACTGATGGTAATTGCAGATGGAAAATAGTTCTTATTTTGGCGCGTCCAGGCATAAGCTAAGCGCCTTTTTCTCTCTTATATTTCGGTTTTCTTCTTGTCATCACCCTTTACTAGCATCTGCACTTGCAAAGATTATGCAAGACCAAGGAAACCGTGTAGTCGTTGGCAAAGATGAGAATGCAGTAAGGCAGCTTATAAGTATGATAAGCAGTGACAACCGTCATGTGGTATGTTGGTTAGCTGTCCTGACAAAGATTTCACTGCTTATCACTCTTCTGCTGCATAGGGTTTAAGAATTCCGACTTCTGGCAGGTTGAACAAGCATGTTCTGCTCTTTCATCTCTTGCTGCAGATGTTTCAGTTGCCATGCAGTTGATGAAATCTGACATTATGCAACCCATCGAAACGGTTTTGAAGTCTATGCCCCAGGGGGAAGTAATTTCTGTGTTGCAAGTTGTGGTGAAGCTGGCTTTTGCATCTGATGCTGTAGCTCAGAAGATGCTGACCAAGGATGTATTGAAGTCTTTGAAATTGTTGTGTGCCCTTAAAACCCCTGAGGCAAGTTCTGTACTTTTTCCCTAAGGCACTGACGATCATACTTTTCTTGTTAGTATTGTCATTTAGTTTAAGGTTTATCTTTCATTAGGTACAAAGATTAGCTTTGCTGGCAGTAGGTAATTTGGCCTTCTGTCTGGAGAATCGCCGTCTTTTGGTTACTTCTGAAAGCTTGTGTGAACTTCTAATGCGCTTGACGGCTGCACCTGAGCCCCGTGTCCATAAAGCTGCAGCTCGTGCTTTAGCAATTCTCGGTTTGTTTCTTGAGTTTACTTTGCTTTCGAGGATTTAGTCTTTATATTTCGAATTTTGTTCATGTCATACCTTTTCCAGGGGAGAATGGAATCCTGCGCCGTGCCATAAGGGGGAGACCGGTGCCAAAGCAAGGATTGCGCATACTTTCAATGGATGGTGGTGGTATGAAAGGTCTGGCAACTGTGCAAATTCTTAAAGCAATTGAGAAGGGAACTGGAAAACAGATACATGAGTTGTTTGACCTCATATGCGGCACATCAACGGGTGGAATGCTTGCTGTTGCACTTGGCATTAAGCTAATGTCTTTAGACCAATGTGAAGAAATATACAAAAACCTTGGTGAGTATGCTGTATTAGGAATGAGTGTGCACAAAGCTTGCCCTTGCTCATTGTTCATGTTTTTTTTGTTTAGTTCTTTACATGTCTGATGTCATGATTTGCAGGAAAACTTGTCTTTGCTGAACCTGCGCCAAAGGATAATGAAGCTGCAAGTTGGAGAGAGAAGTTGGATCAGCTCTATAAAAGTTCGTCCCAGAGTTTTAGAGTTGTTGTACACGGATCTAAAGTATGTTCTTCATGCTTTATATTTGTTTTGTTTGTTTATATATCTTTCATTTTCCCTTACTATTTTGGATTTCAAGATTGATGTGTAAAATATTTTGAGAGGGATGAAATTCCCCTCACCCCCCACCCCCCTCTTTGTCCTTTCTGTATCTTATTCAGGAAGTTTCTATTTTTACTGCAATCATTTTTGTCTGATCTCTTGTTTTCCTCATAAATTCTAGAAAGGAGTGGAATTTTGTGAAGCATTTAGTTAAAACAGGAGTAATTTTTTTATTTATATTTTTCTGCCCTGTTGCCTTGTGTTCTAAAGGATAGTTATAACATATTGTCTTGCAGCATAGTGCAGATCAGTTTGAGAGATTGTTGAAGGAAATGTGTGCCGATGAGGATGGGGATCTGTTAATAGAGTCCGCAGTTAAAAACGTTCCCAAAGTTTTTGTTGTATCAACTTTGGTGAGCGTGATGCCAGCTCAGCCTTTCTTATTCCGAAATTATCAGGTTTGAGACAACTTTTTCCTTTGTTGAAAGGTCATCAATTCACTGCTTAAATTTTAACTTGTTATTTTGTACTCCATTTCTAGTATCCTGCGGGAACACTAGAAGTGCCTCTTGCAATTTCAGAAAGTTTAGGAATAACTGGACCACCTCCTGGATGTGCTGAAGGTGGCTATAAGCACAGTGCCTTTATAGGAAGTTGTAAGCATCAAGTATGGCAAGCTATAAGAGCGTCATCTGCTGCTCCGTATTATCTTGATGATTTCTCAGATGGTACTCTCTTTTGTTCTTGAGCATGCATATTACCTCTTTATTGGTTTTAAATTTTTTTTAAAATGTTTCTATCTGACAATGTGTACAGATGTAAATCGTTGGCAAGATGGTGCAATAGTGGCAAACAATCCTACAATCTTTTCCATTAGAGAAGCACAACTTTTATGGCCAGACACAAAAATTGACTGCTTAGTTTCCGTTGGCTGTGGTGATGTTCCAACGAAGGTTAAAATCATAACATCTCCTATGCTTGTGAAGAGTCAATTTATGAAATATTTCATAATATTTTGTGCAAGATTAGGGAGTGATTACTCCGCTTTATTGGTTCACACAAAATCTGCTAGTGTAGGTGCGAAAAGGTGGTTGGCGTTATCTGGATACTGGTCAGGTATTGATAGAAAGTGCATGCTCTGTGGAACGGGTGGAGGAAGCTTTGAGCACATTGCTACCCATGCTCCCTGGAATACAATATTTTCGGTTTAATCCAGGTATGTGTTAAGTCTGAAGTAATATGTTTACATGAGCATGAAATGTCTGGAATCTCAACCCACTGCATGGGAAACCAATTTGGATTAAGTTTTAACGTTTTTCAAACCTTAACTACTTTTGTTTTCATGCATCAACTTTTTCTCTGATGTGGCTTTTTATTTCAAGTACTATTCTCAAACAGTGCACTTCTATCTCTTCTCCTGCAGTTGATGAACGCTGTGATATGGAACTGGATGAGACTGATCCTGCACTCTGGCTGAAATTGGAAGATGCAGTTGAGGAATATATTCAGAAAAATTCTCTTGTACTTAAGGATGCCTGTGAGAGACTACTTATGCCCTTTCAACATGATGAGAAGTGGTCACATGTCCCCAAGTCAAAGGCATCAAATGACGGTATTGATGCTGACATTTTTCTTCAATTTCTCTGTGTGAATTTCAGTTTTTACTCTTTTTTCTAGAATGTAAGCTCTGTTGATACTTTTGCTGTAGCAGAGGAAAAAAGTCCGTCTCTAGGTTGGAGGCGCAACGTACTACTTGTCGAAGCTTCGCATAGCCCCAATTCTGGTCGTGCTCAGAACCATGGTCATGCACTTGAGTCATTTTGTGCTCGTAATGGAATACGATTATCGCAAATGCAAGGCATATCAGGATTTGTGAAAACGGTACCAGCAACAACATTCCCAACGCCATTTGCATCACCTTTATTTCCTCCAAGCATTCCATCGAGTCCACTTTTCTACAGTCCTGATTTTGGCCCACAGAGGGTTGGCCGAATCGATATGGTCCCACCTTTAAGCTTAGATGGAAAAGGAGCTGCATCACCACCTGATTCTCCTTCAGGACCTAGACAGCTTTCTTTACCCGTCCAGTCATTGCACGAGAAGTTACAGAACTCGCCCCAAGTGGGGATTGTACATTTAGCCCTTCAAAATGACTCTCGTGGCTCGATACTAAGGTCAGTGTTACTGGACTGATTTTTTATAATTGCGAGTTAATGTTATATATAGCTGTAGTTTTAATTTACCAGCCGTTTGCTTCTGTAGTTGGCAGAATGATGTATTTGTGGTTGCTGAGCCCGGAGAGCTTGCAGATAAGTTTCTTCAGAGTGTTAAACTGAGTTTGATATCAGTGGTGCGAAACCGCCGCAGGAAGGCTGATTCATCTTTCGCCAATATTTCAACTATTTCTGATTTGGTTGCATGTAGACCATACTTCCAAATTGGAGGCATCGTTCACCGTTATATGGGACGCCAAACTCAAGTATGTTGCTTTAGCATTGAAACCATTGATTTTGCTACTTGTTGGATAGTTGCCAAACTGCCGAACTACTAACTGTGATTTGTTTAATGATGGAATTTATTAAAGGTTATGGACGATGGCCAAGAAATTGGAGCATATTTGTTTCGTAGAACTGTGCCTTCTATCCATTTAACACCTGATGATGTTCGCTGGATGGTACACTTTCACCTTTGCGTTTGTGAAGTTAAATATGAATATGGGCGCACGATTTAAGTGATCAAACTGATGCTTTTTGTCTTTGATAACTATAGGTCGGAGCTTGGAGAGATAGGATCATTATTTGCACAGGGACATATGGACCTACGCCACCACTGATTAAAGCATTTTTAGACTCTGGCGCTAAAGCTGTTATAAGTTCTTTAGCTCAGCCCCCAGAAACACAGCTGACAGCAGTCCATGGATCTGCAGAGTTCAGTGTTTTTGAAAACGGGAAGTTTGAGATTGGTGAGGAAGAGGCCGAAGACGAAGTCGAAGATGAGGAGGCTGAGCCTACCAGTCCGGTGAGTGACTGGGAAGATAGTGAAAACGGGGACCGGTCTACAGGTTTTTGGGATGACGATGAGGAAGAGGTGTCGCAATTTGTTTGTCAATTGTACGAGTCACTGTTTCGAGAGGGTGTGAGCGTGGATGTTGCTCTACGACAAGCTCTTGCCCCGCACCGGAAGTTGAGGTATTCATGCCATCTTCCCAGCATACACTAGATTGCTAGCCAAATCTCATACAGGAAAATAAAGAAAATTGAAACAAAAATCGTAGGAAAATAGAAACGAGAATAACGAGGAAATAAGAGGAAACATCCAATTTTGAGGCTTACAAACAGAGAAGAAGAGTGAAATGTTGTAACGGTGTTTGGCGTTAATAGTAGATATATGAGCTCAAATGTTCTAACTCTCTTGTTTCCAAATGTTTATTTCTGCACTTACATTAGTTATATGTTTGTTCCTTCAGTAAGTTCCCCAATGTTTTCTGCCTGTGTGAAAGAGTTTGAATAAATGGAAGTATGCTTGTTTTGTCGTTTTCACGACTCAACCTACAATAGACCTATGACGCATCTGGGATGCCAAAGTGGCGGTATTTAAGACATAGTGTAGTGTGTAATTGGTTAAAGATATTGTCACCGTGACATTTTAATTGTAGGTAAGTTTCTCTTCGACGTTAGTTAAGTTGTAAGGTCGTGGAGGGTTTAGGAGTTCTTTTCACAAACTGTACGTGGAAAAGAAATGCCAAAGAAAAAAGATTTAGTTTGAGTTGACAAAGTGTCATCTCTAAAGAAAACCTAATTTGAGCCGTGGACTCTCTTTTTTATCTTTTCTTAAGCAAATGGACGGACCACCAATCTCGGAAAGAAATAAGAAAGGCTTAGCCAAAATAGTCATTGTCATAATTCTTTATTTTGATTCACGACAATAAAAATTGATAGAAGTGGTTCATGAGTTTATTCACAGTAAATCATTTTGGTTTTTCTATGAAAAATATCAATATTTTCGTTAAAGTGTCAAGTGACTTCATTTTTAAAGGTATTTTTGTAAAACAACCCCTTCACTTAACAAGAATTCCAGTAGATTTTTTACAGACTGACCAAAATAATTTACGATGGACAAATTCAAAGACTACTTTTATCGATTTTCATTGTTAAGGACCATTTTGACTAAACAGCCAAGAAAAATCTAGCCAATCGTTATAAGAAATTTCACAGGGCTTTCTCCTATTCAATAATTTCAATTACAAACTGAAAGAAATGATTTTGTCACTTAAGCTTTTGATTTTAATCAATTGCATGTTCCCCTTATACAGTTCCACTCATGACTATTCAGCTGGGGCTGAAGGACAAAATGAATGAATCACATGCCTCAACAGCATTTAACAATTGCATCACTGTAGACCCAAGCGTAATCATTTAGTTAAAGTGGTGTTTCTCTCATGTGCATTCAAATTTCAACTCGCTTTTCTGTAATTTAAATACTCCATTTGTATTCCTTTTATCTTCGCTATTGGATCAAAAGAAGTTAAACCTTCCAAGGAAAGCATAAAGAGGTGGGAATTTTCTACCCTTCGTAAGAAAATGGTACTAAAATACTTTTTTTTCAAGGGAGTTTTAACGAAAAACCTACAGTACTATTTATTTTAACGAAAAACTACATTTTTACACTAAAAAGTTAAACCTGGTACTATTCACTTTACCTTTTATTTTGTCTTTATCATTAAAATTCAAAATTTTCAAATCTTTTTTAATTAATTATCTTTTTTTTTTTCAATAGATTACGAACATCAATCAATCTTGATTGACGCACATATTCACTTTTAAACAAATTTTCTCGAGAACAACACATGCCAATGTAACATATACACCGAAGACTTACTATTTATTTTGACCACCGATACTAATTTGTAATAACAGTTCTTTAGACCCTACCATGAAAGTTAATTTGAGCTCCAGAGTCAAAAGGGTAAAAAAGTTAATCCGGAGATTATGCATGCTTTTTACGACGGAATCGATCTCATCCGAATCTAAAAAAATTGAGTTCAAGGATCAAATGATTTGGATCATTAAAATTTAATCCAACGGTTATAATTATTATAACTTTTAGAAGATCTCCCTGTTTGTAACCATAGGATCAAATTTCAATTGTCGGAATCATTTGAGTGGACTCAATTCCTTTAAGTTCGGAAGAAATCCGGTTGCTTTTACGACAACCGCCAGGATAATATGATGTCTTACCTAATTAAGAATTTTATAAGGATGAAAGCAGAAGATGCCCCAACCTTAAAGCAATCCATCTTTCTTTACCCGCAAGCTTCTTCTTACATCACACTTCACTCCTTTTTTATATAAAAAAAAAAAAAAAAAACAAATAAATCATGCAGTATAAAGCCAGCAGCACAGCAGAAACCAACTTCCCTCAAACAAGTCCAATGGCTGCAGCAACAGCTCCGATCGCAGTAGGCACGCGAGGCACGGTTGGATCGCTTGTCAGGAGGGAGATCGAGTACTTCAGCAAGCTTGAGCTCGACCGGCGTGGAAGCTCAAGCTCAATGAAGCCTCTGGGACAAATACTCGGCTTCACTTCTGGCGGTAGCGGTGCTCATTGTAGCAAGTCTAGTTTCCGGCTCTTGGTAATGACATGGAGGAGGAGGAAGAGGAGAGGCAGCAGTGACAGCGGCAGCGGCAGCGGCAGAGGGTTCTTGGCAAGCATGTGTTTTGCTGCTGAAGTTGCGGAAACCAATCGGCAAAACTGGATTCCTGGGTTCAATTACAAGATCCTCAAGGATGACATGAACAACTTGAGCATTTGATTTCAGGCAAAATCCTCAAAAGCACTTTTGACAATGCTTCTTTTAGATTTCTGTATCATTTTGTTATAGGACTGCATACATTCAAGGAAACTCAAGATCCTCTCTTGCCAGGGTCACTGTTCATAGTTTTTCTTTCTTTCTTTTGCCGAATCTTGTGTAAATCATCGTTTTGTTGGGACTATTCGGAGTGAGTTCCTTGGTTTGCACCCGACATTTAGTCCACGTTGCTATCCCTGGATATAGGGGAGGCGTTTGTCGCTAGGTATTTGATCAAACAGGATCGTCCATGTCCTATAGTTACTATCATAAAAATATCCTAAAGAGAGAAAGGGCTAAGCGAAGCAAAAAGATTGCAACTGTGACGATATCCTAAGCCAATCAACCATTATTGTTATGAAAGTTAAAATGCATGATAGTGCGTGATTGACTTAAGATACTGTCACAATAACATTTCCGTTGTTAGATTATGAGAGAGAAACATGATATATTTTAAGAATAAAAAAAAAATGAAAAAACGCTTGTTATTTCAATCCTCTAATTCCTTTGGATAAGGTGCAAAGCACATTCTTCAGCTTGCACCTTGATCCTAATTGCTATAGCTCTTTGTCTCCTCTTGCGCTTCTTATTGACTCAACGTGCCTGCCTCTGTTTCTCGATGCACCCTTGGCACCTTCTCCATCGTAGTCTGGCAACGATAGGTGCCCGAGAGCGGTCACAACATCACCCATCGAAGGCCGGCAATCAGCTTCCTCATTCAGACACATTGCAGCAATTGCAACAGCTTGGTTCAGACCCTTTGCTGGAAATCTGCCTCGAAGCAACGGGTCAGCCATCGACGCGTATCTCTTTCTGTCCTTAAGCATTGGCTTTGCCTGTATGATAGAAAATAGGATTGGTATTAAGGGTGCAAGGAACATGTCGTCTTATATGACGAGAAATTCTTTGTGCATGACGTCTTGTCTTTCTTAAAGACACTACATGTTAAGAAAACATAACGTCGTCTCAAATTTCTTTAATGCGTCCCTTCTTTTTGAAAAAGACAGGACGTCCTACACAGAGCAGACTGCTTATACGATTCGATAAAAAGACAGTAACAAGTAACTTGGTAAAGGCTTTTGCTACTTGATGAATGTTCACATACCCAACTGACTAGGATCTGCTGTCCAACCGGTCTTCGCTCATCAATAGCTCTCCGTCCTGTGATCAACTCGAGAAGCACAACGCCAAAGCTGTAGACATCGGACCTAGTTGTCAGCTGTCCTGTTGAAGCATACTCTGGTGCACAATAGCCATAAGTCCCCATCACTCTAGTAGTCACATGGTCCTTGTCTCCGGTTGGACCTAACTTGGCAAGTCCAAAATCAGAAAGCTTAGGACAGAATTTTTCGTCTAGTATAATGTTTGAAGCTTTGAAGTCACGATAAATCACTGGCGGATTGGCAGTCTCATGAAGGTACTCGAGCCCTTTAGCTGCTCCTTCAGCTATTTTCATCCTCGTATACCAATCAAGAGGCTCCATATTCGAATATACATCTTAAGAAAACAAAAAATCGGTTAGTTTATCTCCACATAAGAGCAAAAATTTTTGGGATCCAAATAATTTTTGTGCATACTTAGAAGGTGATTCTCCAAAGATCCATTGACCATGAATTCATACACTAACATTCTCTGGTCTCCTTCTGCACAATAGCCAATAAGATTGACGAGGTTCGCGTGTTGAACCAAACTCAACATGATAACTTCAGAACAAAACTCTCTGCTCCCTTGCAATCCTTTCCTGTCAAGTTTCTTCACTGCCACAACCTGAAACCAATTTAATCGAAAACATAAATTGCAGGATTGTCTTTCGTCACACGATCAAGAGAAAGGAGTAAGAGAGACATACTTGTTTAATGCTGTCCAGGTAACCTCTGTACACCTTCCCAAATCCACCTTCTCCCAGCAGAGAATCAGGATTGAAGTTATCAGTTGCAGCAGCTAGTTCCTCGTACGTAAAAAGCTGAGCGACTTTTTTCGCGTGTCCCGTCTTGAGTATCTCCTTCTGTAAATTCCTGCATTCGTTGCTATCTGCACATTGATCACATTGCCTATGTAATACATCATATTTCCAGTTTCTTTGTTCATGCATAATGTGTATGTTTCAACGTAAAATATGGTCGAAATTCGAAAACCTAGTCTATAAACTCCAGTTAGCAAACCAAAATTTGAACGGATTAATCACATTTTCACCTACCAAAATCTGCATTGCATTAAGACTAAAAATGAGAAAATCAGTAGTGTTTTTTTCGACCTGACTTAACCGAAAAAGTTGCTAAAAGCGAGGTCAATCTCTTCAAACCACTTGAGTATTGCCTTCGTATTCTGGCCCTCCTCACAGATTCTTCAGGCTCGTCGTCCACCTTGCAACACGAGAAGCAAGTCATCCTGCCCTCCTCCCGCCGGAGCGCCTCTGCCGCCGGCAGAACCGTCACTGATTCTGCAAGCCCTCAATGAATCCCAATGGCATGCATGAAACGACGTCAGGAAATGCAGCAACGAATGTGAAGAAAAAGCTTTGAAGTTGAAAGTTCAAAACCAACATTGGTAATGACAACTTAGTTTATATATAAGAGTGGTAATGCTAGGTCTTCTTCTTTTTTAAGGACACAGTTAGAACCATTGAGTTAGAGCTGTCTAATACAACAGACGCGCTCTCTAAAACATAATTTTACCGATACTATTAAATTATGTAAACTAACTTGTACACTTTCGATAAAAATCAAACGAATTTACCATATCACGTTATTGTGCTGATATAATATTTCTACTCTAACCACTCAAACAAAACCACTTGTTTTGGTGTCTATGTAGTATATTATCATTGGTTGGATTTAAAATTTAAAAATTATATAATTTATTCGAATTTGACGGAAAGTTTGACAAATTAACAATATGGGCAAAGACTCCACATATAACGCTTACCGCAGTGACCAAAAATAACAATGTTTATGCAATTTAGTGCAGATTTGATCTCTACTTATCTCTTTCCCCTTTAACATTTAACAATTTAATCCACTAATTCTATAAAAAGTTTCCAACAAATTGAAAATCGAGAACGCAAAATGGAAGAAAGTACAAAGCTCAATGAAAATTGGTACGGGCCGCAGTTGATGGACTACAATAGCAAAGCCCAATCAATTTATATTTTCTCCATTAAACATAAGGCCCAAACCATTTAAAAGTGAAATAAAATCATAAAAGAGGAGAATTCCACGTGTAAGAAAACAAGAGAGCCAGGCTATTGCCACGTGTCATTCAGACCGCAAGGCCGACTTACAGTTAAGAACCTTCATTCCCCAGAATGCTTCAGTTCAGTCATGGCGGGCTTCCGGTCCTTGAAATCCCTAATCCAAAACCCTAAAAAATCAAGAACCTTCGTCACCGCCACCGCCTCCTCCTCCTCCATCTCCGCCCCTCTTCACTACTCTCCTCTCTCCTACCCTCTCTCCCACCCCCTCGTCCGATTGCCGTCTCAGATTTCCAGGTCCTTCCTCTCTCCGCTTTCCAATTGGATCGTTCCTTTTCACGGACCGCCCTTCCTCTCTTTCCCTCCATGGAAGCTCTCGCAGTCCTCCACTCCGCTTTACATTGGCGGAAACGCCGTCGTTCTCAGAAAGATCGAAGCTTCATTGAACTTGAACCTGCTAAGGAGGAGACCGAGCTTCCCGCTCCCATTGGAAGTTGGGTCACTATCGCCGGCGCCGACGGTCGTGGATCGCCGTGTCGGGTTGAAAGAGGGCGCTGACGATTTCGTCAATTTGCCCAATTTGATCTCCATGAGTCGGTTGATTTCAGGTCCTTTCCTTGGATGGTAACAATTACTAATTTGGTTTTTCGGGAACAAAAATTGCTGCTTTTATTTTTTTTATTAATTTTTTGAAGTTTGAGAATTTGGAACCGGTATGCAGGATGATCATGAATGAATGGTACTCTTCTGCAATGGCGGGGTTGGTTATCTCTGGGGCAACTGATTGGGTAAGTTATTTCGAAGCATTTTTCGTAGAAATTGATTTATGCTGGACATAGTTGCTGGTTACTGAGATTTTGACTGTGTTTTCACTTGTGATTTGAATGTGTAGTTGGATGGATACATGGCTAGGAGGATGAAGATCAATTCTATTGTTGGGTCCTATCTGGATCCCCTTGCTGACAAGGTATAAGTGCTTTTCGGTTTTCAGTTATTCCCAAAGTGGTGCTTTTTTATTCCTGTTTGCTTGTGGTTTGGGTTATTGACGTGCCAATTGTGATTTCCTTGTGATGCAGGTTCTTATTGGATGCGTTGCTCTGGCCTTGGTACATAAGGGTCTTCTTCATCGTAAGTACCAAGTAGTCCTGTTTTCGTTTTGCGGGACTGGGATGGTGGTGCATGTATGCATAAGTATCTTTCGACACCGAAGATTGTGAAGATTAGGCTGTTGTTGTCGTTAATACAAGCACAGGCTCAACACCTGCACATTGATTCACAGACTACAGACCATACTTTTCCTGTGTTTGCTTATTTTCTTTTGGTTTCTTAGTTTTATCTTTGGTATATGAAGCCCTTAATCATTTTCTTTGACGATGTTGTGTGTTGGGAAAATAATTTGGCTTTCGTTTGATTTTGGGATTCTGAAGCTGGACTTGTTGGGCTCATTGTGTTCCGGGATGTCGGGCTTGTTGGTGGTGCAGTATATCAAAGAGCTAGTAGCTTGGGGTGGAAGGTGAGATCTTTGTTTCGTTGTCTTATCGATGTTTTGGCAAAATAATTAGGTTACTCATGTTGTTAAAATCTGATTTGACATTGTTGACTCTTTTCAGCGGAATGGTTGGTCCGACTTTTTCAACCTTCATGAAACCCGCCCTGAGAAGGTGGAACCTCTCTTTATTAGTAAGGTAATCTTTATTCTGTACTGAATATCACACAGTGCCGAAGACCAGAGATTGAGATAAACTTACTGCGATGCTTGCGATTTCTGTTTGATCGAGATAAAGGCCTTCTCTCTTTCCTAACAAATAGTACTGTTGACAGCTTAACACAGTCTTCCAGCTTATTTTAGTTGCGGCAGTTCTTCTTCAACCGGAGTTTGGAACACAAGAAACTCAGTCATACATCACATACCTGAGGTAACTTGACGCAGATATTACGTTTCTGTAGTTTGTTTTCCTTGATGTTATATATGCTCAAAGAGCTCATTGTTCGTCTCAAATTGGTGCAGTTGGTTAGTTGCATCAACAACAGTGGCTTCCACAGCAGCTTACGGCGCCCAACACTTGAGGAGATCTGCATTGACCGCTCGGAAATCGTAATTTAAGTAACACAGTAACTCTTTCAGGCTGCAACATCTTTGAGTTCTAATGCGCAGCATAAATCGTAACTTATCAGTAAGAATTTTGACGAACAAGCTACTGGTTTTCACACTTTGGGAAAGCGATCGCACTCGCAGTTATCTGAGCTACAGACGCAGATCGCGTAGAAGAAAACGGAGACGGATGTCTACTCGGTGAAGTTGTGAACGGTAGCAATGAGAGAGAACTGACCTTTACAGCCCTAGAGAAATTTTTGAAAAGAGAAATGTAACTGATATGCCGATGTCGGATTCAGGTTGTTGACTTCCAAACTGTGTATGGTTTTTCGAAAAGCTCTTCAGCTTCAGAAGACTGCTTGCTATGCCACCATGCATTTCAAGCCACTAAGCTGACATATGGTGGCATCGTTCCTTGAATAATTGATTTTGTGGGAACTGTTATTGTCATTTCGGAACTTGTAACGGCCAAATAAGAAATTACCCTTCTAGCATGCGATGACTATTACGTTGGGATGGCGATATTCAAAATTTTGAAAAAGGTTATGTAAAAATCAAAAATGTTGTGACGGTATTTTGAATTAATTATATGTAAGATTGTTTAAGAGAATGATATGTGTTATGTAAATATCAGGGATCAAAGTTATGTGTTATACCGTTAACTTAACGGAGCTTTTCAATAGAATGATCAAAATAATATATGGTAAACAATCTCAGAAACTATTTCTGTTGATTTTAAATTTCATATACCAAGATTATGTGTTATACAAATTGTTTCATTTTGACTAAAAAGCCAACAACAAATAAAGGGGTGGATATTTATAAGGTGGGGCCCTATGCGTTTTGTAGGACCCAAAACGACCACATTGGTCTCGATCGTTTCGTTTCAGCCGGTTCGAACGACCGGGTGAGGTCGGTTAGCGATCGGCAGTTAAAAACCCTCACTGACTCTCTCCCTCCCTCCTTATTTGCGCGCTCTCTACAAAAACAACTAGTAAAAGGGCTTCAAGCGAGACATCTCATCTCAGACTCTGCGAAAAACCAGGTTAGGGTTTTTGTAATTCTGACGTTGTTTTGTAGAAATTAGGGCTTTCTCTTCCCTTCTTCCCTCTACTCTTCCATCTTCATTCATCCAAATTGAAACGTCCGTCTGCGTAATTTCCGTCGGCTTAGAGTGAAATTCCGTTTCGTGGCCGAGAAAAGGTATGAACTTGAAGCTTCTGAATTCCCAATGTAACGCAATCGCACGTTAATTGTCGGGGACTATGGTGGGTTTGGGTTGGTTTTCACCACGGTCCCTGAAAATTAACTAAATTCGATTTTAGCCCACTTCCACAGTAAGTCTAGTTCAATTGAATTATTTTTATTGGAGAAGTTAGCTTCAGGAATACTTCTTATTGCAGTAGGAAACTGTATAGTGTTTAATCTTTACTCTTTATTTTATCAAATTAATTTGGGGGTAAATTAGGTTTGAACTTTGAAGGAGTCTGTTTTTTGCATAGTTAGTGTATTTTCAATAGTGGGTTTTGGTAAAATGACCGAAAAATCTGAACTTGTGTGTTTCTGACATGGAAATTGTGATGAAGTTGTAGGTGTGACAGAGATGGATACAGAGCAATGGATGGGGGAGTTTGTTAAGAAGCTCCAGGTTGAAGATCAGGAGCAGTTGGAGCTGGCTTATGGTGTTGAAATCGAAGCGGAGGCAGTGTTAGTTGCTTTCCGCATCATCATGCAATACCCTGATGGTTAGTTGATTGGTACCGCTATTCTTTTCTCAACCGTTAGTGTGAAGATACCATGGTGGTTAAGTTTTCGTCATGCTTTTTCCTGTTTATGATTTTCAGTTTTTCAGTTCGATAGTAGTGGAGGAGAATTTGATGACACCCAGAAGGAAATTTTGCAAAATAAGGTTGTTGGGCTTTTAAAGGAAGCTTGTGTAAAATTGAGGGATAAATTTGACTACTCTAGACAAGAAGAGGATGATCTAGATGTCGGTGAGTACCAGTTGCGTCGCACGCTTGTTGAGTTAAACGAAATCAAGAAAGAAAGAGATCCGTCCACACAAAAGTGGAGCGATCGTGTAAGCTACACTTATTAGTTACGAGCAACATTGGTATATTTTTCTTCTTGTTTTTCGGTATGCACTGTTTTCCTGAGAAATATGTAATGTTGGGACGTTCAGGTGAAAAAGGAACATGAAGAATTGAAGGGTATGTGGAACCAGTTGGAGACGAACTGGATGCAAGTAAAAACTTCACGGCAGAGATATGACATCAGAGCTCGAGAGGTGCTTTTGTTGGAAAGGATGCACGAAAGGTTGGCTTTTCGTATAAATGAGGCAAGATTAAAGATGGTGAACAGTTTCTCTGGGTCTGGGATGTTGCAATGGATTGATGACCATGTGACTGAGCTTTTATATACAACTCGCAAAGATTTTAAGCATGAGCTAACCGTTAGCCCACACGTTGTTGCGAAGGTGGATATATTTTTTACTTACTCCTATGCTAGACTTTTGCTTCCTTTACCGACTATACGTCATGACACTCTAGGTGACTGGCCTTTTTATTCTTATCAGAAATTGAAAAGTTATTCAATTTCATGGTCTCAATCATTTTTGCATGATATGCAGGCAGCAAGCCCCTTGATTGATGCTCCGCCATTGTCGCTCTCTGAACCAACACTGCCTCAGAACCTTGAACAAAGAATTGCTAAGAGGGTAATTGGACAAGAACATGTTCTACTTGCAGTAACTGCTGCTCTATCAAGGCAGAGGCCTCAGCGACGCCCTATTGGATCCTTCCTCTTCATGTGCGGCTCTGGTTATGGGAGGACAGAAATGGCAAAATCTTTGGCCGGACTACTTTTTGATAACAAAGACATGATAGCAGAGTTTGACCTGGCAAAATACTCAGGTCCAAATTCTTTCTCACGCCTCGTTGGTCTTCTTTCTAGGTAATTTGTCAATTGAGTGGTGCATTCCTACATTTTTTTTTTTATTTTTATTTTTTGTTTCAGGCTGAAAATTTTCCTAAGCTTATTTTTACATTATATCTGGACTTTTGCTCCTGTAGTTACATTGACCCAGGCATGAAGAGGGAGCGCTCAGAGGCAGTTAAGAAGAGGCCTATAGGTCTCATTTTGTTTGACAATGTTGACAAGGCTCATGAATCTATTATTGACATTCTGACCGAGATTATAGGTTTTGGTCATCTAATAGATGGTCAGGGGAACGCCATTGACTTCACTAAAACATTGATAATCATGACAACGAATGTTGGATGTGATAAATACTGGCCATGGAATTGCAAATGTGCAGATGAAGTTCAGAAGTTCCCCGTCAAAGAAGGATTATATGATGATGCATGGGAAACAAAACACAATTCCTGCTATCTTTCTCTTTTGAGGGAGGTAAATTTTGGAATCGTCATATCTATATTATTTTGTTGAAAGGCAACCGTTTATCATATTATTACCAAATCACTTTTGCATCTTCTCTTTCGCAGGCAAAACAGCATTTCAGACCTCAATTGCTTGAATATGTGGATGATGTGATTGGAATTAGGTCTCTATCCGTTCAGCAGTTGAAGGCGGTTGCTAGGCTCCAGCTAAGGGACATTGCCAGCTGCATGACACAGAAGGGCCTCATTATATACCCATCTGAAGCTGCATTAGATATTATTGTCCAGAGGTCAACTTGGCTTGGAGATAGAATCGTATGTCTTTCATAATGACGATCTTTCTTACTGGAACTGTGAAAACCGTAGAAAAAGATAACTTTTTATATTAAAAAAGGGAACAAACAGCTAGGATAATCAAGTAAAACTAGTTCATATGCATAGTGGAGAACCGGAAAGGAGTCATTTTCCTCCAATCTTGTAGATTTCTCATACCCATATTAACACTGAATAAAGCTTGCTCCTTTGTACATTAGGAACAAACCATGCTTTCCAAGATAGTTATAATAAACATTATATGAGAAAAGTCATTCAAGTAAGTCAACGGAAATGAGTACTCTTAATTTTTCCTTGATTTGTCTTACTTCAGAAATGTCTAATAAAATGAACCATGGATATTCATACATTTCATATAATACCAATATTGCATATAATGCGGATATACGTTTGAGTTGTCTCTGCTTTCTTTTAAATATAATTAGCAAACAGATATTTTACAAATTATGTGCAACGTTGATCAAACGCATGACAATAAGCTTTTTTATTTATTTTTTTAATAGTAATTGTGGCGTCCTGTACAATATTGATTGCTTCCGTTGTTGTAACAGAGAGGTGGAGAGAGAATAAGAATGTGGCTTGAAGAGAACTTGGTTCCGCTGCTGTTTGAGAAGCTTGCTAAGAACATTTTAAATGAGTTGTCTATCATATATATTGAAGCCTCGGTGGAGACAAACCAATTGTCCTACAGCTGGGCCAATTGTGTACATTCACTGGAAGAACAAGATGTTAGCCAATTAGTATCGTTAAGGGATTTGAGATTGATGTATCGTAAAGAGAAAGAACGAGCAAAGAATGTCTATGTTCTAAGAAAACTTCACAACAGATTAATCGCAAGTGCAAATGCTGAACTGGGTTATACTACTGCTGTTGTTCAAGAGCTGGTTAATACAATTCAGGATCTAGTTACAATCTCCAGCGGTATCAAGTCTTTGCTCGACAATCCTAAAATGGTACGTAATTTGGTTTTTGTTTGGCACTCGCTCTTTCTGAATGATTGTTAACTAAGTTGAACATGAGTGCATGTATATAATGGTTCCACTATTCGTGACTCTTTTTAGGTGGCGGAGGCAGCGTTGAACGAGGACGAGGTTAGGCAGAACAAGAGGGCTAAAACATAGAAGCAACGATTGAGTTGCTCGAAGATTGAATTACGAAAGATTAGATCGAGTAGCTTATTGTATGAAGAAGCCGGAAATATGATCGTTTATCCTTCTTTAGAATGCAATCTGCTGACTTGCATTTTCGGGTTCAAATCTTCGGATGACATGAATCTTGCCGCACCTCCTTTCTCAAAAGGACTCGGCATAGACAGGATCAGCTGCCCGGAGTCCTGAGCTTTTTACTTCGCAAAGCTGACTGAAGTTTCAAGCAGATGTAAATTACCAACTTATCAGAATAATCAAAGAGTGTCTTTTGGGCCACACACAAGAATTTTTTTATGGAGTTTCACATTTTTCGTTTATGAGATCGTAGATTTTAGTTTGTGGGTAAATATTTAACTCGATCGACATTACTGTAAATCTGTATTTACCCTCGGTTAGGGGAGGGTCGACTCCAACTCGATCGAAATGCATGTGGTTACATATGTAATGCACTCGTCGCGAAATGAACCATGACAACGTAGAAATTCTTTGTGCTGGACGCATGTCCTTCAAAAAAGGACTGATTAATTTTTTTTTGTTTTTTTTGAACAAATATCTACACAAAGTGATGGGAGAATGGGCTAAGCTCATAATGGGCTAGCAATAATATGATTCAAATTCGTCTTTGACGAGAATCAAAGATCTCTCACTTACAAATGAAGAAGAATACTAGATCGTTACACTAAGTGGTAAAAAAAAGGACGGATGGATTTTGTACCAATAATTTGAAAAATGATTTGATTACTCATTGACATTTTTACCCTTGATTCGTTTTTTTTAATCTCTCACTTGTTACTGATAAGAAAAATACAACATAAACTGTAGCACTAACAAATGAAAAAACCATACCAATAAGAAAACCATCTCCTTCCTCGCCGAGTTCTTACTGCGGCAATGCAGCTTCAACTTCATTCCACTGATCTTGATTCACCGAAAACTTCTCCTTCATCTGCCCGATAACCTCCCTAGCCTCCACCACCTTCGAAACCTTCACCAGTCCGTCCACGAGCAACTTCATGGTTCCGAAATTGGGAACCCAATTTTTCTCAATGCTCTCCTTGGCAAACTGCAGTGCACTCTCAAACTCCCCATCTTTGCACAGGAAATACACGAGAGTGAAGTAGCAGTTCGCATCTGCCTTAAATCCGCGGTTCACCATGTTGGTGAACATCTTCTTCGCCTCGTCCAAGTTCCCTTCCTTGCAAAACCCATGAATCAGATGGCAAAATGTGACTGCATTCGGCTTCATCCCCCTCGAAAGCATCCCATCCAGCAACGCTTTTGCCTCGGCAGACTTCCTCAGTTTACACAAACTCTTGATCCTAATGTTGTAAGTGGAAAGGCCGGGCTGAAACCCGTGCTTCTCCATCAAATTCATCACCTTCCCAACGTCTTCAAACTTCATTTCGGTGTAAAACCCGGTGAGCAAATGCCCGAAAGTGTTGGCATCCGGCTTCACATTCTTCCTCTCCATCTCCGCCAGCACCGAGTAGGAGGAGCTGGTGGTGCCCGCCTCCGAGAACGCCTTGATCACGTAATTGTAAGTCTCCAAATCGGGCTGGATCCCGTAAATCTTCGGGAATTCGAGAAAAACCCGGTTCACCTCCTTGTAATTCCTGGCGAATATACAGGCGAGCAGCAACGCATTGAGCGTCTTGACGTTCCGAGGGATGCCCAATTCCTCGCAGCGCTCAAAGGTGCGGACGGCGTGGTCGGGCATGTCGGCCTGGCCGTAGAGGATGATGGCGTGGGAGGCGAAGCGCTGCGTTTTGAGGTCGGGCCGGGAGGCGAAGAGGTCGTCGAGGAACTGGCGGATGAAGTCGTAGTGGTTGTCGTCGCGGAGGCGGTTGATGGCGACGGAGAAGGCGATGCGATCGAGGTGGGATTCGGGGCTTAGGGAGGCGGATTTGCAGATTACAAGGATTTTGGAGGGGTCTTTCTCGGACTTGAGTTGGGCGATGGCGGTTCTGGTTTTGTCCTTGGAGGAGAGTGGGGCCGCCGTGGAGAGGTGGCGGGCGGCGTGGCGAAGGCGAGATAGAAGAGACATGGCTTCCAGAGAGAGAAATGGGGGCTGGCGTCAGGGTTTTGCAGAGGGATTAGTGGAAGGGGGCGACTGGAGTCGGACAGTGAGTGAGAAAATAGCACGTCATTAAAAAAAAAACAAAAAGGGAAATCGGGGTTAAGGGGTTTTGAACCCGACGTGAATCGAACACGCAACCTTCTGATCTGGAGTCAGACGCGCTACCATTGCGCCACGGATCCCCGGATGATTGTTTTAGACATATCAAGAAATTTAAAAGAATTAGGATTCTCTCTATTCCGAATTTCTCTTTGCTTTTTATCCCTTCCCCTCTATTTGAATAGTTACGATTAAATCACATCAATATATTGTGTTGACTTTTATTATAAAGAGAGACAACAAAAGAAGTGTGAGAAGAGAGGAGGGAAAGAGAAGGGATTAGGAGAGGAAATAATCTTACACCCATTTATAAACCTCATTAACATTCAGTTTAGCAAGGGTTGTATGCCAAGCATTAAAGAAATTGAAAAAAAAAAAATCGAACCGAAGACTAAAGTGAAGCCGGAAAAAAAAAATTGAAAAAAAAATCAAATTTGGTTTTGATTTTAGGGTTCGAAAACCGAACTGAAACTAAAACCCCTTAAAACGACGATGTGTTTATATGTTAAACTTAACCCTGACTATACAACCCCCTTCCAAACTCGATACCCAAACCCAGTTACTCGCCCTACCCTCTGCAGAACAAACCCTCCTCTTGTCGATGCCAAACCTAACACAACACCTCCTCCTCTCGACGTCGCACTTGACACCTCGCACACCTCGTTTGCCTTCTCCTCGCCCACACTGAACAGAACACCTCATCCTCTCGACGTCACAATTAAGCTAACCATGAGAGGTTTAATTATCGTTAACTTAATTGTGCTCTATGATCATTGATTATATTACTAGTAAAGTAGGAACTCAAAGGCACAAGATGTCGAACCAAACAAAATAAAATCACAAAAAAGTAGGTAACAATCGACACCACTATTATTACATATCATGTAAACACATGGGGTCGCGGCTGTCCTCTTAGTCTAATTTTATATGGTAGGTCTTCGGAATGTGACAGCATCTAAGGGATTTGCAACCTTCAACAACCACGTAAGTAGATCATACCAGATGTCTTGGTTTTCAAATGAATAATTTACATTTTTCGTATTTATAAAGAATTGCAAGAAAAAAAGGTGTCACATGTGGGGATAGGACACATGTGTATTGAAATAATTTATTCTATTTTTATGCTTTTACTAACACGTAAAAAGTTTACTCTAATTTTTTATTTCTTATGTGGTTGATAACACTTGTATTGAAATATCTCATGGATAAAAATATTGGTACGTTAATTTGTGAAATATCGATGGATATATTGATATCAATTGTTTTTAATGGAAATGATGGAAATATAAAATGAAATTTTATTGAATGTAAATACTGGTTTAAAGGAAATATAAGAGTTTCTCCGATTTGGAGTGAAGTTTCAACCCCCTTTTTTCCATATCTTTATTTGATTTTTCCAATCTTTCTAGAAAATATCTACCGTATCGAATAAATCATTTTAATTATTTGACTTTTGCTTTTACTAACATGTACGAAATCAAAACAAATACTCGTACTACAGTTCCATTTGTCCCATCATGATCTTTTACATTCAGGACTTCTCTTGTTGAGAATTCTTCGTTCTATGTAAATATACCGTAATTGTAAACGAAATACAAGATAAGATCAAAATTAAACTAAAATAGAAGTATTCAGTGCCATTGACCCATAATCCATCTATTAATAAATAAAAT